ATTTTTTTTTTTTTTTTTTTTTTTTTAAATTTACGCTTGAAAAACCACTGCAACTAAAATGTGAGAAATTTCAGCACCCGTCATTTTATTCTCTAGGACCTTTTACTTAAATATGTTTGGAGGACCTTTTACTTAAATATGTTTGGGGGTTCGAAGTTATTTTCTAGCAAAAAAATAGATTTTTACATGCAAGAGAGAAGTGTCAGAATTGGCCCAGTAGGCAAGTTGGTAAAACGAGTTTTACCACTAGTAAGTCTTTTTAAATGGGCTAGGTTTATTGTATGGTATAGCCAAGAAATATGTAAAAGAAATGGATGTGGTCTGTATGGCCATGCCATCAAAATGAAGTCAGAATTGCTATTATGCATGCTTGTTTCAGATCAAATTAATAAAACAACTGAATCTGCACAACAGCCAGGCAATTGGCAGTTTAAAAAAAAAAAAAAAAAAAAAAAAGGCAGCACTTCATAACTTCAATATATTTTTTTCCTTTTAGGGCTTTTACACTTGTTTCAACTTCAACACACAGAGTGCCTACCGCTTCAGCATGCTATTTTGAAGCTTTAATAAAGCTTGGCAAATGCCCTGTGGGTGTTGATTCTCTATTTTGTTTTAAAGCGGCCCAGCAGAGCCGCTGCTCAGTGGTACTCCCAGCTCTGCTGATGCCCCACTCCGTAGTATCCCCAGCTTTGCTATACGCTACTCAGTAGTAACTCTTAGCCCTGCCAATCCCCTACTCAGTAACCCTCAGCTCTGCTGATCCTTCACGCTCTCTGGTCTCCTTTCACCTCCCACTATATTGCTCCCTTGCTGTGCATATCTGCTAGTTTCTCCTACTCCAGTCCCCCAGCTCTGATGATCCTCTGCCACTCAGACCTCTCCAGTCCCTGCTCACCTTCTGCTATTGTGTTTCCCAGGTTGGATACTACGTTCACTCACCTTTCTGCTGCTCCTTGCTGCACACCAGATGTTACGTCTGCACCAGACAGTTCAAGAATATCTACACATGAACTGTGACTGCTGATTACATCGTTCCAGTTCATTTGTTGGTTTCTTAGTGCACCCTGGGATATCTCATACCTGTAATACCTCCAAAACAAAGAAGTTAAAGCTGAATATTAGCCTCTCAAAAGCTGCAGGTGATGTAAGCAAGCGTTTGTCAAACTATGGAGGCTTTGAAGATGTTATGAAGTACCATGAAAGTGACATGGGGTACACTTTTTGAAGCAAAGAATGTATAAAACAGGACTGTAAGCGAACCATTTTATTTAGTGACAGGTGCTTTGATTGCATTCAGAGTGTTCAATGCCACATTTTGAAGCGTGCAAATGATACCATAAAGTGAGTGTTGGTGCCATTAGTAGGTCTGTAAATGGGCGATTCTTGATGTATAGTCAAGAAACCTGTAAAAGAAATGGCTGTGGTGTGTATGCCATGCCATCAATGTATTTTCAACTCCTGATATGCTATGAGAAGGTTTGCCAACCTCAAATGATTTCAAGATTTCACAGACCTAAAATGACAAAACAAATAATTTTAAGTTTGAGTTTACTTTAGTTCTACTGTTTCTTCTAAGGGTCTTTGTAAGTGTGGACTTCTGATAGCTGTGTGCTTGAACAGTTGGTACACTTCCTTTTTTTAACTTTTTCAAATTCCCAAAAAATACCATTTGAGAAAGGAAAGTAGGCGTAACAAAAAAAGTATGACCAGATGTACCCTCTCTAACTTAAATGCCTAACCCAGGTAGACCTGGGTCCACTTATCCTATTTCTGAAGACATGAAAACACCTGATCAAACAATTCTGCCTGGAGGAGAGATCAAAACTCCCTTAAATGTACATCACAAGGTTATTTTTCATCACTACTTAAGCTGCCTAAAAGTAAGTAGACACTGGCCAAAAAAAGCAGACTTCCCTGCCCAAGCATAACCCCTCCCAGCCCACCCTCAGTTGTGTGCTAAGTGATGGATGCATCTGTAGAGTTTCTCTGAAGATTTATTTCTGTGGCTGTCTGCATTTATTTCCTTGCCTGTACCTTTCACCCCTGATGGTGTAAGGAATGGCTTTATTTGAACTGGGGACTAGTGGGAACACCACACAGATCCTGTTGTGGAAAATTGGGGACAGACCTGATAAGCCTCTGCTTCTGCGTCAGAAGGGATCTCTTAGCATCGTGGGATCTTTCACTTCTTCAAGACCTCCAGTCCCCTGGACTCACCTAATCGTCTCAGCTTTGCCAGTCTCCAAGACTCACCTGCCTCAAGTCTCTCAGTCCTGTGGTTAAGGAATCCCTTCTCCAGCATGGAGTGTTGTCTCTTGAGTGGGGCACTCCTAACAAGAGCCCACACTTGTTCCCCAACAGGGGTATGCCTGACTCCTGGATGGAGCACACACCTGTCTCTTGAAGGGAGCCCTGAACTATGGCCAGGCCTTGCTTATAACGAGCCTGCACACACACAGGTCTTCAGTAAGACCGGGACGTAGGAATGAAGGTTTCATCCCATCCAAGACTCTTTGTAGACTCCAGACCCTGATCCAGGATTACAGAGAACACTGAAAACCCAGTCTTCTCTGCTCACACACAACACTCCAGAGCCCCCTCAAGCTGTGTATTTGAGAACCCCATGGGGTTTATTTACTAAAGCTGGAGAGTCCAAAATCAGACTCCCTTCTGCATAGAAACCAATCCGCTTCCAGGTTTCATTGCCAAAGGTTCATTGAACAAGCTGAGGTTAGAAGCTGATTGGTTTCTATGCAGAAGGGAGTCTGATTTTGGACTCTCCAGCTTTAGTAAATAAACCCCCATGTGTCTTCTGCCTGTACTCACAGTGGCAGGGCCTAGCACTGTCACAACACATAAACACTGGAAAACTCAGGTAAGGGCAAGTACATTCAAACACAAATGAATGTACAGGTGAAACTCGAAAAATTAGAATATAGTGCAAAAATTAATTTATTTCAGTAATGCAACTTAAAAGGAGAAACTAATATATGAGAGACTCATTACATGCAAAGCAAGATAGTTCAAGCTGTGATTTGTCATAATTGTGATGATTATGGTTTACAGCTCGTGAAAACCACAAATCCACACTCTCAGAAAATTAGAATATTACATGCAATCAATAAAACAAGGATTATACATAGAACAATATTGGACCTCTGAAAAGCATAAGCATGCATATGTACTCATTATTTAGTTTGGGCCCCTTTTGCAGCAATTACTGCCTTAATGCAGTGTGGCATGGAAGCTATCAGCCTGTGGCACTGCTGAGGTGTTATGGAAGATCAGGATGCTTCAATAGCGGCCTTCAGCTCTTCTGCATTGTTCGGTCTCATGTCTCTCATCTTTCTCTTGGCAATGCCCTATAGATTCTCTATGGGGTTCAGGTCAGGCGAGTTTGGTGGCCAATCAAGCACAGTAATCCCATGGTCATTGAACCAGGTTTTGGTGCTTTTGGCAGGTGCCAAGTCCTGCTGGAAAATGAAGTCAGAATCCCCATAAAGCTCGTCTTCGGAAGGAAGCATGAAGTACTCCAAAATCTCCTGGTTGACCCTGGACTTAATGTAGCACAGTGGACCAACGCCAGTAGATGACATGGCTCCCCAAATCAACACAGACTGTGGAAACTTCACACTGGACTTCAAGCATCTTGCAGTGCGTGCCTCTCCATTCTTCCTCCATACTCTGGGTCCTTGGTTTCCAAATGAGAAGCAAAAGTTGCTCTCATCAGAAAAGAGGACTTTGGGCCACTGAGCAACAGACCAGGTCTGTTTTTCTTTAGCCCAGGTAAGACGCTTCTGACATTGTTGTTTTAGGAGCAGCTTGACAAGAGGAATACGACATAAAATGATCAAAAACCAAAACAATTCCTGGTAAGGATCCAATACATCAATGTCTTAGGTAATGATAAATATAGGTAATAAACCTTAAAAAAGTAATATCAATAAAGTGCAATAGTCTCTATAGGCTGAGATGATAGCAGTGATGCGTGCACATATTCTTCATAAAAATTATATCATGGTCTTGTGGCTTCGATGGTGATAGAGAAAGACAAAATATTGCACTAACCAGATAGTGCAAAAGGATGCGCATGGAGCATTTAAGACCAGCTCCTGGTACTCTAGATATGTGATAATGGAACAAAGTGGTGTCATCTGTATGGTAGCCACTAGATGTCATCCATCTGAGAGAGGTGTCCTGGATCCAGAGATGTCAGCCACAGCCACCAGAGGGGGTGTTGTTAAACACAGCTCCCAGTCTCAGCAAAGTACCTTCAAGACACAGGCTCCCAAGAGAATAAAGAGCCAGCAGAGAAGGCCTCCAATAGTGTAATATTGTTTATTCAGGGGTAATAACAGTAATAAATGAAAGACAACTTACATAGGTAGCTCGGCCGCCATGAGAAAGCTGGCCTGGTAGTACATGTACATAGAGAGCAGTGATGGGCACTTCCCTGATGCGTATTGTGTCCTTACACATCATCAGAAGGATTCCTACTGAACCAGACTGAGAGACCATTTAAAGGCTCAGGAACCCTTTGCAGGTGGTATGGCCTAATTAGCTGATTAGAGTGGGACACTTTGAGCCTAGAATATTGCACCTTTTCACAATATTCTAATTTTCTGAGATTGTGGATTTGGGGTTTTCATGAGCTGTAAGCCATAACCATCACAATTATGACAAATCACGGCTTGAACTATCTTGCTTTGCATGTAATGAGTCTATCTCATATATTAGTTTCACCTTTTAAGTTGCATTACTGAAATAAATGAACTTTTGCACGATATTCTAATTTTTCAAGTTTCACCTGTAATCTGGGAAGCATAAAGTTAGTATATCCTTCCCAGATTATTTCTTCCATGTTTACCCACCTCCCACCCGCCATATATTAATATGATGGGCGCAAGGTGGTTCTCTCGTTCTGGGATGACGTCATATGACATCCTCCCATTCTCAATGCGCATGCGCGGCTCAGGGAGCGCGCAGCGTGGCGATTGGCGGTGCGCTGTGTCCCTCAGACACAGCAGATCACCAATCACGGAAAGAGCCGAAGATGTCGGCTCGGTCATGTAATCAGCTGTGTCCAATCACAGCTGACCACATGTAAGCAGGGAAATGCCGGATATCGGCATTTCTCTCCTCTCGAGCTGTCATGCTGACAGCTTGAGAGGAGAGCCGGTAATCGGCTTTCCGCGGAGGGGACATGTACACTGATCATCAAGGCACTGATGATCAGTGTGCCCTGATGATCAGTGTAGCCCCAGCAGTGCCACCTGTCAGTGTCCATCAGTGCCTTATGTCAGTGCTCATCAGTGCCACATATCAGTGCCTACCAGTGCACATCAATGCCACATATCAGTGCCCATCTGAGCTGCCTTTCAGTGTCACCCATCAGTGCCACCTATCAGTGCTGCCAATCAGTTCCACCTTTCAGTGCCAGTCAGTGCCGCCTATCAATATCAGTGCGCATCAGTGCCGCCTGTCAGTGCTGCCTAACAGTGCCCGTCAGTGCTGCCTATTAGTGCCAGTCAGTGCCACCTATCAGTGCCATGTATCAGTGCCTATCAGAGTCCATCAGTGATGCCTGTCAATGCCCATCAGTGCCACCTACCAGTGCCTCCTCATCAGTGCCTATCAGTGTCCATCAGTGCAGCCTATCAGTGCCCATCAGTGCAGCCTCATTAGCGCACATCAGTGAAGGAGAAAAATCACTTATTTACAAAATTTTATAACAAAAACTAAGAAAAAACTTTTTTTTTTTCAAAATTTTCAGTGGTTTTTGATTTGCTTAAGAAAAAAAAAAAACCCCGAGGTGATTAAATACCACCAAAATAAAGCTCTATTTGTCACAAAAAAATGATAAAAATTTCATATGGGTACAGTGTTATTTGACCGCGCAATTCAAAGTGCAACAGCGCTGAAAGCTGGAAATTGGCCTGGGCAGGAAGGGGGTATAAGTGCCCTGTAGGCTAGTGGTTAAAGCTCCATGTACACAGGACGTTTGGAAAACACTTCTGAACAATGCAAAATGACTGCTGGAAAACTTAGGTTAAAAAAACGTCTCTTTAGCCTCATTCGCATACCGCGTTTTATGAGCATTTGCGTTTAGAAGCTTTTTTTTAAACCTCAGGAGACCTTCCAAAATGCCCAGAATGCACTGAAAAAAAACCCAGTAAAAAATTAACTATTTCAGACATTTCAAGAGAAATAGAGCAGAAGCAGAGAGAGCAGTATGTGTTGAAATGACATATTTTTTCTGGTTGTATTCACTATGGATCCCATCATGAGCATAATGCAGTACGTTCTACCATTTTTTCCTTCACGCAAAACCTGGAACTGACTGCGCTGGTGTGCTAGGTCCATTTGAATACATGGAAAACGCTTTGCATGCATTTCTGATGATGAAAAAAGGCTCTGGCCGGTATCTGGATATGGAACAGTTAAAAAACGCTTATAAACGCGGTTAGCTGCGTTTACAAGCATTTGGCGTTTGAAACGCTGATAAAATCCACTCTTGAACGCAAGTTTGGTGCGTTCAAAAAACGACTGTAAACTCAACTGCATGTAAACGACTGTAAAATACATAGTGTACATGGACACATACGAAAACATTAGGGAGAGTTCAGGGGCTGCTAAAAAAAATGCAGAAAAGCTCCTGAACGTGAGTTTATCAGCTGCAGTGTACATGAGCCCTAAGGCCTCAATCAGATGGAGGAATGAAGGTGGATAGGATGCTGTGTTCACATGTGGCTAACAACTACCTGTGAACACAGCAGCACTCTGTTCTTTTACTGCATACAAACTGGACAATTAACTTCAGCCAGTTTGTATGCAGCCAGAAGTGTCATTCTTGGGCACAGACTGTCTATGTCCAGCACAGGGGCGGACTGACCATTTGGAAACTTGGGCACTGCCCGAGGGCCCGGGGTCAGTAGGGGGCCCCATGAGATGCCCCTGGTACCTTTTTCATAGACTTTTTCGAGTTTGGGCAAGGACACAGGGGCCCCATTATCCCCTATTGCCTGGGGGCCCCATGAGTTGTCAGTCCGCCCCTGGTCCAGCATGTATCAGAGTCCCTAATTGCATGTAATGGATCATCTGAACAGTGGCATCTCTTGCCATTGATTTGTACTGGGTACAAATCTGCCTGCGGCTGTTCACACACACCTGTATGAATGATGCCTAAAAAAGGTAAAGGCAGGAGTGATAGTGTAAATGGAGCCTAAGAGATTCATTAATGTTCTCTGGCGCCCATGTTGTGTGTCAGGTCATTTCAGTCGATTCAAAAGTAAGAACTCTGCTACACATTTTGTTCCTCTACCACCAGATGGCAATAGGGCTTCTTGAAGACATTGAAGACAGAAGAATACTGTAGAAATTTGCCTTGTATGTGATGATGTCAGAAGCAACGGGTCTGTGTATTGTACACTTCCTGTGTCTGTAGTTCTGCAATCTTGGCAGAAAAGCAGAGATTAAGAAAGGGCAGTGACAGACGGTTGTGAGCTGTGTTTGTCACTTGAAGACTTTTTGGTAAACCTCTTAATGCTGGATTCCGCTTTCTGAAAAAGTTTTACATGCAAGCAGCCCATTTTCTGCAAGAATGGCTGCAGTGAAACTTACAGACCAGGTAAGAAGATTCATTATTAAAGCCCACAGATTGTGTTCACAGTTTTGAAATTACAACAGGGACTAGAGGCAATTATAGTCATACTCTCTGTAGAAATGATCAGAAAAGTGCTGGTTGTATCCTACTAACCTTTTTGGCTTCTTTTCTCCCCAAAATTCATGTTTCACCCACATCCAGCATGATAGTCCGGTGATCATAGCGAGGATGTATTCTTATATATTTTTCTTATGTAAAATGCAGCAGAAGAAAAGAGACTCCAACAAGGAACTCTAACAAGAAAGGGCAGAGCAAAGATCTCGGGGATGGGGGGGCTTCTTGTTGCTGTGTCCCCTATTGATATTAAAACTGACGAGTGATGGAACATACCAACCCCCACCCAGAACTAAAATATTCGATTTGAAGGGCTTAGCCTTTAATTTAGCACTGGAGGTTTTTGTGGCTTTTTTTTTTTTGTAGAAAACCATGATGACATTTGCCATTTTTATGCTGTGAATATAGCAAACCTAAAGTAAAATTAGTAAAGAAAAGGATACAACTGTACTTAGTAAATGTTACTATAGAGATATGCTAAATAGAGAACAGTCCCATCCAGCACTGTACATACAGTTTTATCTGGCATACTGACATGTAGCTACTTCCACCATTCTGCAGACGTAATGACAAGTTGGGTGCAGCAAGTAGTTAGTAAGGAGGTGAAGAGGAGAAACACTTATTACATGGAGGGAGCAGTGTGACTATAGAAATGTGTATAAGGGATATGGACATGAGGGAACAATTACCCTTCCTTTTTTTTTCTTTTGGGATGTGGGGGGAGAGAGAAGATGTTGGGACGATATGTACTGTAGTTGTTGAGATAAGATGTATGTTTATCTTTTTGTAAAGATGAAAAGAAAATGAGTAAAAGGAGATAATAAACTAAAAAAAGCATGGCCTCTGCTTATCACTAGAAGATGCAGGTGGAAATTTATAAGTATATATTTGCACATGGACAGTGTTTATATAAAGTATAGTTAAGGCTCGGTTCACACTACTGCAACTTGAAAGTGCAACTTTGCCAGGCGACTTCCTGGTGATTTCCCGGCAACTTGAGTATGACATTGATGCAACTTGATGTGTGACTTTCATGCCATGTTGTCTGGGTAATCGTCCTGTAATGTCAGATCCAAATCACATCAAAATAGATGAGTATCCGACTTGGATGTGACTTCTATTAAAGTCTATGGGCACAGGCGGATAGAGGTTGCATTGAAGTCACACAGGAACCTTTTCTGCAACTTCAGTAGTGCTAATTAAGACAGCTCTCATTGACTAACATGGGATTTCACATTTCATGTGACTTGGGGTCTCACAAGTCAGATCCAAAGTCGCGGAAGTGTGAACCGAGCCTAAAGGAAATTTGTTTTGGATAGAGTGGAGAGGGTTAGGACACCTGTCAGGTTTTTATTGCTGTCTGTGCCCATGTTAGAGAGAATCAACTTATTTGTCCTGTTTACTGTTATTACCAACCTAAATTTTAAGATGTCACCAGAACTGGAATAGAGGTAGAAACTTCCAATGGGGACACTAATTCTGGTGATCCCAGTGACTGCCAAGGACAAAACAGTTTGCCTAGAGCAGCAATGGGCAAACTACGGCCCGCGGGCCGTATACGGCCCGGCGGACCTTTTAATCCGGCCCGCGGAGCTAGGCTCCCGCTAGGCTCCTCTCACAGTCCGCCCTGAAGACCGGTGTAGCATGAAAATCTGTCTCCTATGAGGGTCTGTCCCCCTCGACGTATCTGCGCATGTGCCGGAGATCGCCGATCGGCTGCTAATGCTTGAAACTGGCACATGCGCAGATACGTCATGGGGGACAGATCCTCATAGGAGACAGATTTTCATACTACACCGGAACGGCGCGGGAACACGGCGAGAGGAACGCGCGGAGCAAAGGTAAGTGAATTGACACAGGGGGGACTTGGGGACTTAATATGGGGGATGAATTAATATGGGGAATGAATTACTATAGGGGGGATAAATTACTATAGGGGGGATGAATTACTATAGGGGGGATGAATTACTATGGGGGATGAATTACTATATGGGGGATGAATTACTATATGGGGGATGAATTACTATGAGGGATGAATTACTATATGGGGGATGAATTACTATATGGGGGATGAATTACTATGGGGGATGAATTACTATATGGGGGATGAATTACTATATGGGGGATGAATTACTATGGGGGATGAATTACTATGGGGGATGAATTACTATATGGGGGATGAATTACTATGCTTACTATGGGGGAATATTACTATACTTACTATGGATGACACATACACATCATTCATCTACTCTTGGTCCGGCCCCCGGGTCCAATATATGAACCCATTGCGGCCCTCAAGTCAAAAAGTTTGCCCACCCCTGGCCTAGAGGAACACAGAGTATAAATTCAGCCCTGATCACCACCAAAGTGGACCTTACTGACTAAGCCTGGGTTCACACTTCTGCGGTGCGGCATATCGCATGTGATTCGCACAGGAACCGCAATGCATTCCTGTGCAAATCACCTGCTAATTTTGAGCGGTGCAATTTGAGCCATATATTTTGTATGGCTCAAATCACACCGCATTATACACCAAAAAGGTGCAGGACCCTTTTATTTGTCCGCACTAGAATCGGATTGCACCGTGTTTGCGAACTGATTTCGAGGGCTTGTTAACTTAACATGCACACATGTTCGCATGAATGGGGAGTCATTATGATGCGGTGCGGAATTTGCACAGAAACCGGCTCCGCATCATAGTGAACCCAGGCTTAATGTTGATCTTTGTCACTGCCAAAACTAGCTTCCCACGTACGTGAAATGAGAAATATAATTGTTGTAACATTTAATTCCTGGCTGAGTTTTTTGGGGTCAGAACAGTAAAGGTTTTTATTTAGCAGGTTTCAGAGAAATCATATATATGTTTCTTGAGATTTTGTATTA